ATTTTAGAAAGCCTACACCCCCCCCCCAAAAACCCGCTGTAGACTTTGCCCTCTCCTCTGCCTGCCTGTGGGTCTCTAGCAAAATCCAGGTGATGGTGGCTGACTCTTTTCCTATGGCAAACTTGAGAGAGCCTTTGCTTTTGTCTTGCAGTTGGTCTTTGTTTATTTCTACTGAGATGACTGACAAACAGGAATGATATCTAAAACATGTTGGTGGCGGAAAAAGTCATTGAGAAAGCAAGCAGGATCAAGGGCTATAGACACAGGATGGCCATGTCTAGTAAGTAGCTGAGAAGGCCTGGGGGAGAGGGGATATTGGAGCAGTACAGGAATGAGCGGGAGCCCTGAGGTACCCAGGAAGAGCCTTCCAGATACAGAGCACAAGGAGAAGGGCTAGTTGGGGACAGAGAGAAGTGTGAGGATCGGGGAGCCGACTTCAAAGAGGGGTGCTGGATGCAGGGTCTGTGTGTATGGGCTGTTGGGATGGGTGGTCTGCAGCATGGTAGTGAGGACTTCACACATGACCCAGGGTCCCACGGCCACTGTCAGGACCTTAGCTTTTACTTTGAGCATGACAGGAACCATCGCAGGCTTTGAACAGAGTTTCTGTCCTGCAGAGGCCTTCTGATGTGCAACTAGACTTCCTGTGGGCAAGGGACAAGGGTGGAAAGAGAGAGACCAATGAGGTAGCTGTTGAGTAAGCAGACAGCAAGGGTAGGGGACAGTGGAAACCTACAGCCCCTTCAGAAATGGAGTCTCAGATATGGACCAAGTCCTACCTTCTCCTGGGCCTGACTCCTGCCTCAGCCTCTCAGAGTGCTGGGATTACAGGTGTGCACCACCATGCCTGGCCCATCCCTGTAAGTCTGGAGACTGAGGCACGGCAGGTGGAGGAGCTTGGGCTACTTCCTGCGTGCTGCCTATCAGGTGAGGCTGTCCCAGGGTGTAGAGTGAGTGTCCTGCTCCCAGTACCGGCCTCAGCATTCGCAGCAGCCTTCACACTTCTGTGCACAGCCTGCAGCTGCTACAGCTCCTTCCGAGGGCGCAGCGGAGGGAGGGAAGCTGGTTAATCTGATTTATAGGCGAAGCTCACAAAAGTTCCCTCCGCGCGGCCATCTCATTTGTTTGTCCACAGTTGGAGCACGCTCCAGCTGGCATGCTAAGGATCTTCTTCTTTAAGTAACAGTTTTTACTGTGGTTTAATTCACATACAGTAGATTCAGTAGGTTTTAGAGTATTCACAAAGTGTGCTACCATCCCCAGAATATAATTCCCCAACATTTTCATCACCTCCAACTAAACCTCACTTGCATTAGCAGTCATTCCCCACTCCTAGGTCCTGGCACATGCTACTCTACGTCCTGTCTCTGTGGATTGACCTGTTCCAGACATTTCAAATAAATACAGTCATGCAGTATTGGGCCTTCTGCATCTCACTTATTCCCCTTAGCATAATGTTTTCACTGCAGGTGTATCTGGACTTTATTTCTTTTTATGGCTACGTAACAGTCCACTGTACAGATTTCCAAGTCTGGCATACCCACCCATCATTCACTGGATGGATATTTGGGTTGTTTCCATCTTCTGGCTCTTAGGACTAACCTGATGCTGCCTGAACATTTGCACATAAGTCCCTGGATGGATGTTGTTCTCATTTCTTCTGAGTATCTACCTAGGAATGGAGTTGCTGGGTTGCATGGTAGCCATAAAATTACATGAGGAACTGCCCAACTATTTCTCAGTTTACATCCTCAGCAGCAGTGCATGAGGGTTCCGAATGCTTTTCCTACAGTGAGGACCCCAGCCCCAGCCGAAGAGCATCTATCCAGCCCTTCCCAGATCTCACATAGCCCGAGGAGGCTGGTGTGGTCTGCAGCTCTGCTAGATCTCCCTGAGACACCTACACGTGGCTTCCTGTCATGCCTAACACGAGCTGGGCGCTCTACTCGCACGGCTGCCTGTCCTCTCAGCCTCTTCTAAGGAGGGTCTGCATCTTCCATCTGCATTTTATAGATGGAAACCGTGAAGCGTGGAGAGATCGCTGAGTCTATGTGGGAAGGGCTCAGCCACAGCCTGTGATCTGTGTTCTGATGGGAAAGGTGCAGATGACTGGACCGCAGTGGAGCCTCGGGCAGAACACTTCCCTGGCCCAAAAGCCCAAGGCCGCTCATGGTTGCACAAGTCTGACCTTCACAGTTGCAGTCGGTATAGCTCTGAGAGGATCTTCTCCCACCAGGCCTGGGGGTTGGAATAGCCACTGGCCTCCGCAGTCCTGCCAAGCCCAGCATACTGATTTTATGCTTTTCTCGGTCCTACAATTCCCAGAAGTAGAAAGAGCCTCTTCCCAGAAGCAAAAAGGGCTGCAGTTACTAGAGTTGGCCAGCAGGGACACTGTCCCTCTTCTGACCGCTTGGCTTCTGGTGCGTAGTTCAGGCAGCAGCTGGGAAAAGCCAAGCTCTTCTCTTTTCCACCTCTGCCCAAGCTTTCCAGAGTGTGTGTCCCAGTCTCTTGAGCAGAGCAGCTGCAGGGCATCCAGCATCAGTCTTCTGGCTTCTGGCCACCCACCAAAACCGCAGCAGCAATGTGGTAGCTGCAAACCAGGGAGTGCCATGCCAGACCTGCTGGAGCAGGGCAGGAGCTGCCAGTTCCACCCTCAAGTGGCCTTTTGAGGTCACCAGGACAGCTCAAGGCATTTTGCCAAGCAGGCTATGGCTATGGAGCAGGACAGCTCCCGGTTGGGCTTTTCACAGCTGACATGAACAGAGAGGGTGAATGGTGGCATCTCTGACCATGGCAGCCTGAGATTTGTTTCCTTGCCATGTGTTGCGTGTGTCAGGACGCCCGTGCAAGGGTCCCCAAAGTAATAATCAAAATCACTTTGCATCTGTAGGATGCCTGCTCTGCACCAGGTCACCAGGCCCTTTGGGTTACTCCTGTGTTTCCTGTGCGTGTCTGCAGGTACCATTGGTTTAATATGGGGAACTGAGGCTGAAGAGGGCAAGCGGCCTCCCAAGGGGCTCACAGCTGTTTCACAGAGAGGAGCAGAGGGTCTGAAAGTAGGTCTGACCGTTAAGCTCCTGGGGGCCAAAGCTGGGGTCTGAACCCCCAGTGAGAGCTTAGCTTTCATCTTGGGGCTGCTTTGGAAGAAGAGACGATGTCAGGGAAGAGTCACAGGGAAAGCGGGGATTTGCAGGCTAGTTGATTTGGGAGCTGGTGTGGGTGCCTTAAAATCCACAGAGGCTGAGGCGGGCTTTGGCTCCAAGCGTTCATTGGTGTCACTGGCACCAGAAGAGAAAGAGCAAAGGGAACTGAAGAAGGAGAAAGGGCCAGAGACAGAGGCAGGGACTGGACTGGTAGCCTGGAGCCTCCCACCCAGGAGTTCCCTGCCTG